CCCCCCCCCCCCCATTTTTTCTTATAAATACCCTTACATACCATTTTTTCCTATAAAATTAAGTTAAAGTCCTTTTATTTATTTCCTTTTGTTTTTTTCCTATTTAAAAGTAATTATTTTAATTTGTTTATCCATTAAGTATTTTTTTTAAATATATATATAAATATAATTTTCCGGGCCGACCCGGAACTGAATTGAACCGGCGGGCCTACCTGGCCCGTCGAACCGTACATATTACGGGCCGGTTCCGGTTCCGGAAAAAGTGAACCGTGAACCAGTATGAACCGTCCCGGAACCGGCCCATGGCCGTGTCTATTTTGGAGTCCACAAATGTGTTTGATTTCCTACATGATATTCACATATAGTACAAGGTTTGTATGTAGACTAGTATTTTTCTCAAATATTACCATAATTGATGTTGATGGATTCACACATTATGTAATTAGTCATAAAATGAAGGAATGCCTTATAAAATGAGTTTATATTGTTGCATTGGTTCAAAATAATATCTATAAAGCAAGCGTACCATATAAACGGAGAACATCTACTTTTCTATTGAAAAAAACGTACTCTATGAATGGACAACACGTACATCACCAATGTAATGCATTCATTTTTATGTAGAATAACTTGTACCATAATTATAATTAATTGAATTGTACCAATTTCATGATAAATTTAGTGATTAGTGAGTGTGAGAGGGACATAAAATATATTTCAAATGACTATTTTAAGACTGATGAACAATGGTGTTGCGTTTAGAGTTCAAAATGCCACAAAATGCTCGCATGATACTCACTTAGACAACACGTACTTCACTACTGAACCAAATATACTTGATTATAGACGTAAACGTACAATGTTAACGCGTTTATTGTACTACATGACTAGCAATACTAGTACTTTTCATCTCTTATTTCAACACCATCCAACCACACTAGCAATGCTATTGTTTAATACGACATATACTACTGCTTAAAACACAACATGTTTCAAAAAATAATACGAGAATCGTCTTTCTCAGATCCTATATCAAACCATCAACACCTTCTAAATATGGGAAAAAAAAAAAATCAAATTTTGTTTCTTTCCCCTCACCATTCTTTGAAAATGGGTCTCTTCATTTTTTTTTGTTCACGAGTTTTTTTCTTGCGCCTTTTCGTTTGTTGTTTGAAGAAAAATAACTGAAAATTGAGTTTTGAATTGGAACAGGCAAGGAAAGAAAAGAGAAAAGAGAAAGAGAAAAAGAGGAAAGGGGAAAGAGAAAAGAAGGAAAAAATGAAGAGGGAGAAAAATTAAATGAAGAGAGAGACAGAGAGAGAAAGAGAAAAAAAATAATATAAAAATACAAACATAAGAACTGAACTGCATGTAAAACTCTGCATTAGGGACTGAACTGTCTATGAAACGTCTGTAGGGACTGATCGGCGCTTTAAGTTTGTATTTGGAAATGTATCTGGACTTGCCCCAAAATTATATCCATTGTCATATACTTTTGCATGATAGTTTTTTGAACACTAATAAAATAAATATTAGAACGAATTTATCATTGACCGATAAGATTCGCTTCCCAGCAATAAAAAATGATTCTCGTAGGCCAATATTTGAAAATTAATTGGAATACACCAGACACACATTGTGGACGTCGACGTTGTTTGGTGACGGATCAGTTGAATTTATATTTTTCATATGGAATTAAAACCCTTTTCTTTCGCTTAATTCTAAATAGTCTCCAGTCTATAAGTCTATAACAATAGATTTTAGATGCTCCCAATGCAAGAACTTTTTGAAATGACTCTTCTAAACAGGTATGAATTGAAAATCCACACCAATTCATGAAAAGATAATTACACTTAACAAGTATGAAATTTCTTATCAAATCCGCACTATTTGAAATATCTTAATAAAATTGTTGTTATGGATTTAAAATATCTCTGTCAAATCCAATCGTTTCCTACTAGACCATTGTTTAATTTTCAATTATGGTGCAACATATCTACTAAATTATAGATGATCATGCTACAAAATAGATAAATGAATTAAGTAACAAAACAAGAAATCCCCAATAACATCAAAAAAGAAAAGCATTCCATTAATTGATAGTTCAACCAACATTCATTTACTTGGTCACTGTTGAGCAAATAACTTGGTCACTGATTAGGTTAGCAAAAAAACATAGTTACCAAAAAAAAGAGTCTAGTCCCAGCCGGTTGCAGTGATAGGACCATCATAGTTATAGCCATAGTACGCAGCAGGTGCATCATACGGAGCAACATCATAAGGAGCATAAGAAGAAGCATATGTCGGGTCCACATATGATGAGTCCGGGAGGGCATAGTTGTCATTGTAAGAATAATCTGGTGCAGCATATTTACCATAATGGGATTGGGATGATGTGTTGCTGTTGTTGTTATTGGCATATTGATCGAGCCACAGAGGAACTTCCTGGTTAGCTTGGTGCATGAGCTGGGCAAGCGGCTTAGCAAGAGGGGCATTCTTGTCACTGAAAAATGCAGTTGCCAAACCAGATTTACCAGCACGGCCAGTCCTTCCTATCCTGTGAACATAGTCATCAACAGCTCTGGGCAAGTCGTAATTTATGACATGAGCGACGTGAGGAATGTCAAGCCCACGTGCAGCCACATCTGTCGCCACTAGAATTGGAGTGCGTCCGCTTCTGAACAATTTCAGCGCTCTCTCTCTCTCCTATATACATATGCCAGTAGCACAGTTCATAAATAAATCACGAGTATGTATGCATGTATGTATATATGACGAGGCATTTAAACAATATATACTAACTATTACCATTTGTATTTTGTCGCCATGAATGGCAGTTGAGGGAAAACCTTTGCTGCACAACCAGCGCTCGAGTGAGTCTGCTCCTCTCTTTGTCTCCACAAAGACTAGGGTCAAAGCATTGTTCTGTTGTGGGGAAACAACAATAATATACTTGCTCAGCAAACCAAATATGAGTAATAAATAATACTAATAATAAATTAACTGGTCGATGAGTTTTTCCAAGTATTAATAGATACTAGTTCAACTTGGTGGTCATCCAGTCTATGTGACACCAGAAACGGATATAAATTCACCAAAGTGAGCGGGGTATTTTTTTTTAATTTATTAGATCAGAAAGCTTCAACTTAATGAATATATGTGTACGTACATATTGGAAAGTATAAATTAGAAACGGAATATTATTTTTTCTTTCATTTTTTACAATACCAGTTACAAAGTATAAATTAGAAACGGAATATTACTTTAAGCAGTCCAATAGGTGATGGAAACAACACATTGATCCAACAATAAAGACATACCTGAGGGGTGGTGTTATTTGTCCTTTGGGAACGAAGAAGATTGACCAAATAGTCACGTTTGTCCATGTCAGCAACAAATTCAACTTTTTGAACAATCAGATCAGTACTTGAGCCCACCTTTCCAGCAGCAAGAAATATGAAGTTTGAGAGAAAATCCGATGCAAGCCTCTGCAAGAATATACAAAATCAAGATAATATTAGCTAAATTATTTTACGATGAGAGAGAGAGAGAGAGAGAGAGAGAGAGAGAGAGAGAGAGAGACCTGTATTTGATCAGGAAAAGTAGCACTAAAAAGCATAGTCTGCCTAGAACCAGGAGGAGGCATGTGCATTTGCTGAACAATCATACGAATTTGGCGTTCAAAGCCCATATCCAACATTCGGTCAGCCTCGTCAAGTGCCAAATACTTAACATTCCTAAGGGAAACTCTTCTTCTTTCAATCAAGTCCACCAACCGACCTGGTGTTGCCACCAATATGTCTACACCCTTCTCCAGATTTTGCAACTGTTTTTTTTATTTCAATACGCAAATATATACATGTTAAACTATACTGCAAATCAGGTCTTAATTCACCCTGAAATTTTATGTCCCACAATAGACACAATTCTAATTTCTTGCAGTAGACCACATCAACACTTTATCAGATATAAGTAAACACTTTAATTATCAAACAGCATATACGATAATAATGATCATGTCAGTTCTTTCAAAACAACTCAACAATCAACATACATACAAAGAGAGGTTGAAGGAATAAAATCAAGTTCTAATTACCCGTCTTGATATATAAAAGTTCAAGATATGCCTAACACAACTCCAAGATATATCCCATAAACCAGAGTATTCAAGTATCCATGATATTATTCATTGAAAAGTTTATTTCTGACATATTTTAAAAGTAATTAATAAGGACAAAGTAATATTATTATAGTGAGGCTCTTGTTCAGAGAAATAGATATTGTAAAGAGGACAAGGGGCATAATATTAAAATGAAGTTAAATTAAAACTTGTAGAATATGAAGGAATATAGAAACCATGAATGAATTCATATGGATGTATGTAAAATATTAAGAAAAGAAGAATATAAAATCAAACCTGTAGAACAATAGGAGCCCCACCATAAGCAACGACAACTTTGACACCAGTCTGATACGAAAACTTCTTTGCTTCCTCGTGAATCTATACCATACAACAACAACAACAACAACAACAACAACTTAGTATCAAGGCTATTATTATACAAAATATTCAAATTCTATGTTCGTGTAGTACTAAATGCCAAAATAAGTGGGCATAGATCTTGAATATTTTAAAGGAAAATAATAATTGAAAAAATAGAAAAAAGAGACAAAGGGCAAGAACGGATCATAAACAAATACAATATAATAGGCAAAACCAAACACGTCGTTAATTCAGGATAGAAAGTGACCTGAGAAGCGAGCTCTCGTGTAGGAGCAAGAATGAGAGCCATGGGGAAAGCCGTAGCACTACTACCCCTGCTCCCAATGCCAGTAATAGTATTATTATTCTTATGAAGCAAAATGCTATTGATAATGGGGAAGCAGAAGGCTGCCGTTTTACCAGAACCAGTCTGTGCACACGCCATCAAATCCCTACCGGCCATGCCCACCGGAATAGCGTACTTCTGTATGGGTGTTGGGTTCACGTACTTGCACCTCCTCACATTATCTCCCAACGCCTTCGTAGCGAACCCCATTTCATCAAATGACGTCACTGCTGGCGGTATGTCAACCCCACTCGCCTCCACCTCTGGCCCTGGCCCCACTTTCTTCGTTTTAATAATATTCTCTTCCAGTGCTTCTTCTTCTTCTTCTTCCGTGACCTCCAGCTCGTCGAATTTCTCTGAGATATCAAATGGCCCAGCAGGTTTCGGGTACGGCGGCGGCGGAATGGTGACCGTGATCTTAGGCTGTGTACGGAGGTGCGGGGGGAGGTAAGTGGATCGTGGGCGGCGTGTTGACCCGGCGCTGCTTGAATGGCTGAACCATGGAGGCGACGACATGACCTGATCAACTCACAAGGCTTGTAGACAGAGAGAAAGAAGAAGAGAGAGAGAGGGAAATGGAAATTGTTCTTTTTACTTTTTTCTGGTTTTTGTGTTTTTATGGTTCACAAGGGTTTAATGGGAAAGGAGAATAAAGAGGACAAAAACCAGCACTGGTGCTACTAATGAAACTCCCGTCTATACATACATGTATATATGTATGTCTTTGTACTATATATATATATATATATATATATATATATATATATATTTGAAATTGCTGCTGCACTGCACTGGGGGGATGATGGTACTATTTCTAGTTTGAGTTGGTCTAATTTGTGTGGCATTATTGTGATTTAATAGGGGAGAGAGAGAGAGAGAGAGAATTGGGTACTATACCCAATGCAATGCGTATAGTGTGATTTCTCTTTTTCTTTTTTCTTTTTTCTTTTTTCTTTTTTTTTTTTGATAAGCCATTAAGTGTGTGTGATTAATGACATAGGGAATATTCGGTAATGATAATTGTGAGTGGAAGTTCTAACGTTTATGGTTTCCATGGTGAAGATGAAAAGCCGAAAGCCCCTGCTGTTGGCCATTTTGTTTTCTCAATTTAATTACTTTTAATTATCTTATTATACCCTTTTTAGTTTTTTTACAAGAAATTATTCCATTTAAGTTCATATATAATAAATCTTATATATAAAAGAAAGAAACGCTGGGCAACCCTAGAAAAACCCTAAGGTTGCATTTGGATGGAGGGATTTGGGGGAGGGATTTCAAATCCATAATAACAAATCCCTCGGACTTGTTTGGATTGAGGGATTTGGAGATGGATTTCAAATCCCCACCCCTCTTTTTTAGTTGATTTTGGAGCAATAGTGATGGATTTCAAATGACTCCAAAATTGGTGTCATTTCAAATCCATTCCCCAAATCAAATCCCTCCCCAAATCCCTCCATCCAAATGGACTCTAATGGTATTTTGTAATTATTTATTTTCAATTTTTTTAATACTACTAATTTTTCACTATAATTTTTAACAATTATCGAAATTGAAATTAACCCGTGAAGAGTTCTACCATAATAGTACTTCTGTAATTATTTATTTTTAATACTTTTATCTAATAATTTTTTAACTATAATTTTCAACGATTTTTAATCTCCTATTTTTCATCAATATATCTCAAATCTTAAGAGATAATTAAATTTATATTTTTTCACTTTTGAAATAATATCCCGTGCATCGCACGGGAAAAAATGCTAGTTTATAAAAAAGAAGTTCGAAAAAGTAACTTTTATCTTTCATTTGATAAGAGTTCGTGTCAGTGAAATATTATTTGTTATTTTAGATTTTTATTAAATTATTAATTTCGCTATTTTTACTTTTACCTTCTATCAATTTCATTTTCACTAGGATATTACAAATAAGTTTATTACGAGCTGCTTATTTATTAACACAACAAAATTACTATGTTACATAATAAATTATTGTGTAATACAGTAATATTATTATGTTGACCAGTCACAAAGACAAACATAATAAAAGACCAAAAAAATAATATTCTTGTGAATGACAGTACTCATATTATTGTCAATGATATTATTAAATGTAAAGACAATAATATTATTTTGTTTACATTATTTTTACTGTCAACCATGCTAATATTATAATAGTAAACAATAATATTATTACGTTGACCGGTAAACAAATCAAACAAAATAAAAAAAGGCAAAAACTTCAAATTAAATTAATGTGGTTGACAGTAATATTATTATGTTTACAGTAATTTTACTATCAACCACAGTCAGTGGCGAGGCCAGGAAGTTTAGTGAGGGGGGGCTTAAACACATGGGGGTTCGGGGGCAGCGCCCCCGAAAAAATTTTTGCTACGAAAGAAATTTGAGATGAAAATTCGATATGAATTTTTTTTCCTTCACTTTCAGAAGATAATACCAAAACGAATCGGGAAAGCTAAATTGCTATGAAAATTTAAGAAACATGAATATCAAGTCGATTATCAAATTGACATAGAGAAGTTGTCAAATGCTAAAACGATCGTCGGTGGATGGCAATTTAACCGCTATTAGTGTGACTGTGGGAGAGAACAAAGTTTTTTTTTTTTCAAGAAACGTAATGAAGTTGAGAAATAGAAGATGAGGGCAAATCATACATGAGGGGCTTTGAGTAAGTGGACTAAAAATAAGTGGGCTTAAATAATAAAATTAAATAGACTAAAAAATTAAATAGAATATATATATATATATATATATATATATATATATATATATATATATATATATATATTTGAATAGACTAAAAAAATAAATAGAATATACATGGGGGGCTTTGAGTAAGTGGACTAAAAATAAGTGGGCTTAAATAATATAATTGAATTGGCTAAAAAAATAAATAGAATATATATATATATATATATATATATATATATATATATATATATATATATATATATATATATATCTATATATATATATATATATATCTATCCATGGGGGGCTTTTAGTGTATAAATAAATATAATATACATAGAGGGCTTTGAGTAAGTGGACTAGAAATAAGTGGGCTTAAATAATATAATTGAATTGACTAAAAAATGAAATGAAATATATATATATATATATATATATATATATATATATATATATATATATATATATATATATAATAGGAAAATTTTGGAAAGTGAGGGGGGGCTTGAGTCCACCCTAGCCCTTGGGTGGACTCGCCCCTGACCACAGTAATATTATTGTCACCGGTTAGTTGCGGACGGAAAAAAAAAAAAAAAAAGCATAATATATTTTTTTGTAAAGTCAACATCGAAAACTGGCGGCAAAAAAATAGTTTGATAAAGAAAAAGTTAAAATTGAATATTATTTTTTTTGGTCAAATTGATGCAATTAAAGTTAGATTGGGTTACAATTAGGAATTGAGTTTAAGAATTGGGGGTAATTTTATCATATACATTAAGTTTGCCTTTATTTATTAGATATATTAAATCAATGAGATTATTAGCGAAAGATAAATAGCACATAAACCTAGAATAATAAAAATGATAGGTTACTGACCTCTTCACAAAAAAAACTCTAATTAATTAGTTGTGACATAATTAATGTCAAGAGTATTTTAGTAATTTCCTTTATTTTTTAATATAATCTATATATTTGTTGATTTCCTTAATATATATAGCAATAACTTAAAATGATATTTAAATACGGAGAGGCTATACTAACCATTTATTATTAATTGTTTATTAAATACTAAATATTATTAAAAAAATTAAATTAATTACCTACCAATTAGTAATTAATTTTTCTTTGTTAAATAAACAATTAATAATTATTCATTAATTAACTAAATACCTAAACTAAAAAAATAGACAAACCACAAACCGCTAACATTGATGTGTAAAATTAGGGATGGCAATTTACCTCGCCTCGATGGATCCCCAACCTGCCCTAACCCAAAATTATCGCGCATCACCTATCCTGAAAAAATATGGAACGGGAATGGGAATAGACAAAAAAAAAATTAACCGAGCATGGGGATGGGGACGGGCTTGTATGTACCCGTCCATTATGGGCATGAGGTAGGGATTTACAAGCTCATGTTTTGCGTAGGGATGGAAATTGAAATGAATTCCTAATTTCCAACATTTTCGATCCAACTGTTTTCACTTTTGGAATAATATTTTTTAATTCCAAATCCAATTTACACCTCTAGTTTAGTATAAATATCATTTTTTTCGCATTACTGATGGTCAGTTTCTAGCTAGTGCAACAATGACTACTACCTCATTTCCAAATTTCGCCCACAAAATAAACTCTCTTATAATTTACAGTTATCATTCCTACAATTTGTTTGCATCTCTAAAGGTCTAAAAATAACTAACTTGTTTCATAATACATGTAATTGAATTTGGGGCAAACGGCAAAAATGACGTGATAAGGGATTTTAATGCACATTGGTCAAAAAAAATAAATAATCTTTCAAATAAGTTCATCCCTATGTCTTTAGTCTAAAATACTCTCTATAATATATTTTTTATTAATTCCATCCATTATACTCTAACTTCCTTAATATTACACATTGACCCCAAATTTAAACAAATATATCACATTAACCCCTATTTTAATAATTTTTTAATTTTTTTTCTTCAGAAAATCATTTTTTTCTGATTTTTTTGTTTCCGATCAGATTCCGGCGTTGACCCAGGCGGTTCTCCGACGTTGACCGGAAAAAAAATTATAAAAGGGTTTCAATGAATTGAGGGTAATTTTGGTATATATAAAAGGGTTTTTCTTATTGGAGTTGAATTGGGTTTGAATGAATTGAGGGTAATTTTAATATATATAAAAGGGTTTCCTTATTTGCAAATAAGTTTGAATGAAGTGGATTTATTTGAAAGAGAAAAAAAATTAGATGTTCCTTTTTTAATGGGGTCATTACAAATAAGCCAATCAATGGGTACCTATTCATAAAAAGATCCAGACAAAAAACTCATTTACCAATAAGTCCACACATGGTCCAAATTTTTGTAAAAGACTAAAATAGCCCCTCATACTTTAATATGCTCCAATTTTATCCTTAATTTAATTTAACATCAATTTGACCCCAAATTTCACAAACTATTCAATTTTGACCCCAATTTTTTTTTTCAAAATTTTTTTTTTGCCGCCGGATTCCGTCGTTGACTTTTCAATTTTTTTTCTTTTTTCTTCCGCATTTTTTCGCCGGTTTCCGGCGTTGACCGGCGGTCTCTGGCGTTGACTTTTTCGAATTTTTTTTTTCTTTCTGTAACATTTTTTTTTCGTTTAAACATCAATATTGCAGTGATTGACATTAATATTAACTATATTACTGTTAAAAACAGTAAAATTAACTAAACTACAGTTTAACACAGTAATATTGCTATTTTAATCTCTAGCACATTAATATAAACACAACAAAACTCATTATTATTGTGTAATAGAGTAATATTACTATTTTGACCGTTCAACAAATGTAAACATAATAAAAAGCCAAAAAAATTAATATTATTGTGAGTGACAGTAATATTACTATAACAACAGTAATATTACCGTCAACCACAGTAATAACAATAATAGACAGTAATATTATTACGTTACTCCGTGAATAACTCAAACAAACAAAAAAATACAAACAAAATAATAATATTGATGTGGTTGACCTTAATATGACTATAACAACAGTAATATTACCGTCAACCATAGTAATATTATTGTATTTATAGTAATATTACAATAATAGACAATAATATTATTACGTTACTCCGTGAATAACTCAAACAAAACAAAAAACCCAAAAAAATAATAATATTGATGTTGTTGACAGTAATATTATTGTGTTTACAGTTATTTTACTCTCAACGACAGTAATATAATTACGTTGACTTGTAGACAAATCAAACAAAATAACAAAAAATAACAAAAAATAAAAAAATAATAATATTATGTTAATTTACTGTCAACGGCAGAACAATTATATAAATGTATTGTCAACGGCAATACAATTACGTTAATTAACTGCCATTGACAGAATGATTACGTTAATTTACTGTCAGTGACAGCACAATTACGATCAACGTTTAGCGGCGGACATAAAAAAAAAACATAAAAAAACACTAAAAAAAATTAACGCCGGAAACCGGCGAAAAAATTCGGAAGTCCATCCATGACATAGTCTCAAGGCTCTCTCGATGCAACCCAAAATGCTTTTACTCTTTATATTTTATCACAATTTGGACATATTTAAACCTGTAAATACCAATGAGAAAGAAAAGGCGATGAGAACAACTAAGTTGCAGTTGTGACCCTGAGTTTATTCAATTCTTCACTTTGTGCCTGAACACAATAAATTAAAACTTTAAACACCAAGAATTAATAAAATACACCAAAAGCTCAAATTAAAAAATATAATTAACTGCAAAACTATACACTTAACAAAGCTGCAAATAAAGAGAATTTTGTTGAATACTTTCAATTTGGGAAGAGAATTTGGTCGAATGGTTTCAATTTACAAATACTAAGTGACCCAATTGACATTTTAAAGTGGAAAAACAAATTTTAAAATGACATATACACCCTTAATCCAGCGAGATATTCACTGGAAATACGCCTTTGGGGATAAATTGCTAACAAGTTGTATATTTATAAAGAGGGCATTCTCTTTTTTATACATGTAGGGGTAGTGTAAACAATGCATTTTTTGAGGGGGTGAAGTGCAATTTGCCCTAATATATTTTTAGTACTTAATAGTAGTTGATAAGATAGGTAATATAGTAGTTGATAAGGTAAAAGCTCTCCAAGCTTATTAACACATATAATCCATAGCCATAGGGCTCTACTCCCAGAATATATATAATTCCTCGTTCATATTTCATTAATGAATTTCTGTTGATATCCATTTATGTTAATATCTAAACTTGATATTTTCATAACTTGATTTTCATGTTTTTCTCATAAATTTTCAGATTTATGGTCGATCAAAGGATATAAAAGCTCGATCGATCAATCTCCGATATTATCCCTGCATTTACAAGGCGATCGATGTACCTGCCACTTCTCCAAAGGCAGTAAGTTTTCTTATGTTTATATATATGTATATAAAATCATGAATTGCGATCCGATCACCGGCTTTCTCAACACAGCACAGCTGCACAGGGCTTCGGAGTAATTACTATTTCACCCTCCTAACTTAAATGATTTTCATGTATGTCTTGCAATGAACAAAATTGACTAATACGGATTAATTATACGGTGAGTTTTTCTGTCTTGCTTGTCTGGTGTCGGAGTAAAGAGACTCTTTGGAGCAAAATTTCGTAGAGTTCAAATGTCAGTATTTTTCTTCTTTTGTAAATAATGGTTTCCTCCTCTCAGTTTTGGGCTTTTAGCACTAACCATCCATATGTATAGGGATGGCAATGGGGCGGGTATGGGGAAGGTTTTGCAATTGTATTTGGATATGCTTATTTGCATACTTTTATTTGGTTGTTGTTGCCACTATTTTGTTGTTTTTTTTTTTTTTTTTCATTCCAACATTCATATTTTCAATATGATGATAAAAATCATAAACAATGTAATAAGATCCCATGTTTTCATTATTAAAACAAGCACAAACATCTGAAGGATTCAAACACTTTAAATCGGTCCAATTGATTCTTCCAAAGGCTAGTTATTCTGTGGGTCGGTAAAGAAGCTGTTCAGCGACGGCATAATTTCCAGCTTTCGGTTACGAACATATTTTCTCAGAGCACGCTCCTTGTACTTGTGTCCCTCGTCGAAATTATCCTAAATTCCAGCAGCCCTGTTTTCCTTGTTCACCCGGACTTCAGGGTTGCCGCAGATATTGCGGACCAGTTGAAAACCACAGATCCCCACAGCAAGCCCTGTAGCTGCAAACAGTGGATACACCTCAGGCCGGATCCAGCGGTTGGCAGCGGCCATTTTCAAGATTTTCCTTTTCTTTTCTCTCTTGTTGTTGTTGTTGTTGTTGTTGTTGCAGTTTATATTTTTTATGTTGTTGTCTGCAATTTGAAGTTTGTTGGTTGTCCCTTACATTTTATTTGATTGGGGTTTTCATTTTCCATTTTCTTAATTGACTTTGGCAGTTCTGCAATTTTTAATCTGCAGCTCGTTATTGCAAATTAATATTAGTTTTTTTTTTTTTTTTTCTTTTTTGGGAATAACTATGGAAGGTTTCACATATTTTTTTGTTCTTTTCCAAAACTCATATTGACACGATCAAGTTTCTAGAAGATCCTCGAGGACGTTTGGAAGTTGTGAATTCAGTAGGACGTCGAGACTATTTCCGTTATGACATCACCCCAGCTAGAATCAATTATTGCAACACTATATTGCAACACTGCTTGTATCTACTGATTTGTATCGTACAATATTTTTTATTTAATGTATTGATTATTCCTAGACAAAAATAGTTTGTTGGTTTGTTATGTCATCTTTTATTTCATATTTTATCTTTTAAAAATATTTTATATTGTTCGAGGAAAAAAAACTTGAAGTACTGATGTTTGAGCAAATTATCATTAGTACTATATTGTGTTGTTGGGAAAAGACATTTGTAAAATAATATTGTGACATATGGTAGGTGGTTACGTATTATATTTATTTTGCTATTTATTTTTGCTGTTACATATTGATGTTTGCTATTATAATTTATATGCAAACTGCAAAAAGAAAAGGCAAAGTTCAAATAATACAATACTAACAACAAAAACAAATACATGGCATCAAAAGTGTAGTTATACCAAAAAAATTACATCATATATAACATCAACATGCACAAATATATTCGAGCAACAAACACATTGTATATGCAAACTGCAAACATAACAATCAAAAGATCAAACTATTAATACCATGGCAACAACTCAATACAAATATATAACATCATAGTGAAAAGATATGGTCTCCTAGAAACAGCAAAACGCAAAACAAAAAACCACCAACATCGAAAAAAATGCAAATCGACATAAAAAAATGAAAAAAGCTTGATGTTTGTTGTTCGATATGGACATTATAAAATGATGTTTTGTTGTTTGATGTTTGTATTATGAATGGATGTTTAAAGTTTGATATTTATAGAACATAGATTAATAGTAACATCAAGTATGAAAAAAAAACTTAAAATAATAAATAAAAGCAGCAAAAGTGTAAAAATATATTCGAGCAAAAAACACATCATATACGTAAACTGCAAGAATAAAAAGCAAAGTGCAAATAGTACCACCAACAACAAAAAATAAATATACAACAACAAAGTGTAAAAAAATAGCCAACAACAAACATAATTTTCATCTCAAGATAATCAGCTTTAGTCGATGCCCTTGAGCCTCTGGATAGAGACTTGCTCTAGCGATGAAAGAAGGAATGTATTTAGCGGCGGAGAACGAGCGAGCCATTTTGTACTCGTTTTGGTTTGCACAAAAAAGAAAACTAAATGAAATCTTCTCCTGATGAGCGAATCAAGAGAAAAAATGTGAATCGGGCGGGCTCAATCACATTCTCTACGGTCATCTTCTCCTTCAATCTTGCATCATCAGCCCTAAAAAAATAAGAAAATTTAATTTATTGCCTGCCAAACTGAATCAAAAGTCTGAATTCGAATTTCAACCTCGAAATCTAAACTAGAGATTTTGCTAAACAAAATAACAAACCGAATTTCAATCTCGAAATCTAAACTGCATAACGAAATTAACAAATCAAAAACCTCAATTATGCTGTGGATCGACAACCAAGGGAAAACGATAGTAACCAACAACAAAACAAACCTGTTGACATAGCTCCTCTTCATGATGATAGCAATATGAAAAACAAAAATATATCAAATTGAAATTGATTTCACAAAACTAAAGTTATCCAAGTCTAAGATCTCATAATGACGAATGAGTTCTTTAATTCAACCACGTCCGATAAACTCTCTTCCAGGATGATTTTTTTTTTCAAACCACGTCTCATAACTCCCTTCCAAACAATGTGATATATGAGATTTATTCAACGCAATTTAGGTAATTAAAGACTTCCATAATTAAATAATTTTATTGTTGAAGGGTGTTCATGTCCATATGCTTATAATTTTAATTCATTTAATTAAAAATTTTGGTCAAAGGGCCTATAGCTATACTAATCTAACAGATTGGACTCCTGGCCATATAAGTTTGAAATAAGGGGTATAGCTAATTATTCCTACATATTAGAGGGATGTGCTTATTGTCGAAAGATATATAACTCCTAAACCTAGAATAATAAAGATAATTGATGATGGACTTATGCACAAAAACCTCAAAATAATAAATAAGGCCCGTGAGCTCACGAACAACTAAAAACTGGCTCGAGTTCGGCTCGTCAGAAAGCTCTGGCTTGAAAAACTCGAATCCGAGTTCGAGCTTTTTTCGAGTCGGCGCATCGGGCTCACGAGTAGGCTTGGCTCGTTTACCACCCCTACTCCAATGTAACCATTCTTTTTTTTTTTTTTTTTTTTTCTTTTTTTCTTCTTTTTGTGAGAGAAGTTGGTGGGAGAGGTGTGTGTGGTGTAGAGACATGACACAACAAACAGACGTGGAACATCTACTACATATGCACATGCTGCAGCTTACAACAAGGTTTCATTTCATTTATGTTGGGCAAAAGAAAAAAAAAGAAAAAGTAGGCAAGTTACAATAATACACTTGTCACCACCACAGTCCGCAAAAGAAATTGACTCACCAAACTAACCGAATTAGTAGTAACACAGAGGCATTGCTATTGCTATCGCTATGCTATCTTGTTCTTATCGGTCGTCAATCCACAACAGTTTCTTCTCCAAAGCTCTATTTATCAAACCCAATTATAATTATAATTACAATAAGCTCTGCATCATCATCAGAAGTAGTATGAACATGAATTCACATGCGTTTGCGGGGAACCCTATAAAATCAAGAACCCCGAAACCACGTGAACCCGTCTCCCCTCAATCTGCACTCAAAACTCTCAGGACTCTGCTCTCCACCAATTCCCAAATAATATCTGATGATGATTTTTTCAAGATTTTGCCTTTCAGAAAGGGGAAGCCTTTGACTGGTTCGACGACGATAGGGCTAAAGTGGCATCTGGGTTGGTTGAGTCTGTCCGATTGCAAATCTTACTTGGAGAAATCTCAAGTGGTTCTTACAGACGATTCTCTTGTTTATCTGGGTTCTCAAAATGAGAATGGCGTTGATTTTGTGTATTGGGGTATCGACGTGTCAGATGCAAGTGGGTTGGTGGATGAATTGGGAGCTAGACAGTTTTGCTTTGTCGAGTTGAGGACTCTTATGGTCGCCACTGATTGGTCCGATTCTAAAGCCATGTCCCAACTCGCCATTGCTGGCCATGTCAGTTTCTTTTTTTTTTATTAATTAATATTGCTGCCTGCCTGCTGTTATCTTTTTATAATTCTCAATTGCTGTAGCACCATTATGTTTTATTAGCCCCTGTCCCAGTTCAAATGTCCTTTGAAAATATCCTTTGATTTTTTTTATTTTTAGAAGGACTAGTGATAATTGTTTGTAACCATTATTTGAAAATGTAGATTTAGATTGTAAGCTTAGAGAAATAGAAACATTTTCTTAGCAGTTAGATATTATTGTGTGTTGTTGAACTTGACAGGGCAGAGCTTTGGTGGAATGGCATAATACGGCACGTTTTTGTGGTTATTGTGGATCTAAGACTGTCCCTATTGAAGCTGGTAGGCGCAAACAATGTTCGAATGACTTGTGCAACAAGAGGATTTATCCTCGTGTTGATCCAGTAATTTCACCTTTTATTCTTCTTTACTACTTTCTTACGTCAAACTGAAAATAAAACATATATATGTATCTGAATTTCCATATTGTCTTGTATGTTCAATACACATGAAAAAACAAACAGGTGGTTATTATGTTAGTTATAGATAAAGAGAATGACCGGGCATTACTAGGTAGGCAGTCAAGATTTGTGCCTCGCATGTGGAGTTGCCTTGCTGGCTTTATTGAGGTATTTATCTATCTATCTATCTCTTTAATTGAAAATCGTTATCCATGATCTCTAAAGAGATACATACATGAATACATACATACATACATACTTGCTCGTAGCCAGGAGAAAGCTTGGAAGAGGCAGTGAGGAGAGAAACATGGGAGGAGACCGGCATTGAAGTTGGTGAAGTTGTCTATCACAGTTCTCAGCCATGGCCGGGTTTCTACCCTTTTCTCTCTCTCTCTCTCTCTTCATCATCATTCAATTATTGATTTATTTGCACATTTATACGGTTCATGTGCCAAAATAAAGAAGCACTTTATGCATGGTTTTTTCAGTTAACCTTTATAGTTTTTGCCAAAGTTTCAAAACATATCCATATGCGCCAATTAAAAATATTAGCGTTATTATTTACCGTTTCTAGATTACTAATATGCTGGTTCGTTGGGCCTCATCAAAATGTTGAATAGTGTGACAAGAGTTAACATGGTCACAAGTACTGGAAGTTCACGAAATATGAAGCCCAAAATAGAAATAACAATTAGTTCACAGAGCACAGCTAAATAGTTCTTGAAGGGAAAGTTGCGCGTAAGCCTGTCGTTTTTCTTCTTCTTTTCAATCTGAAGAAGAAGAATTGTTTGACATCTTAAAGGCTTAAGTTTTATTCAATTATTAAAAAACACACACCAAAATGTGGAAGTAGTTTTATTGTTCATTTGAACGTAGTAGGTTGTTTTTTTTTTATCCTGGAATTCAAATTAACGTTGTGCTCATCTCTCCATTTCTGAAAGTTGCCTCAATTTACAAATGCCTCTTGTTCAGTTGGGAATTAGTGCTCCATAAAATTATATCTATGTGGTGTTTGTTTTCGTCAGTTGGACCGAGCAGCATGCCATGTCAGCTAATGATTGGGTTCTTTGCATATGCTAAAACACTTGAGATAACTGTGGACAAGGAAGAACTAGAAGGTACACACACACACACACACATTAATTTCGAGACATTTAATTACTATTAGATATATCCCGGACTTATTCTAATTTGATGCTCTATACGTATGTTAGATGCAAAATGGCATAACAGAGAAGATGTAAAGAAAGCTCTGACATTTGCCGAATACAAAAAGGCACAGATGACAACAGCAGCTAAAGTAGAGCAAATGTGCAAAGGTGTCGGGAAAGGCCAAAACTTGTCTTCAGATTTCAATGTCGAAAGTGGGGAACTTGCTTCGATGTTTATACCTGCTCCTTTCGCAATTGCTCACCATCTCATCTCTTCTTGGGTCAATCACGACCAACCCCACCCGAAACAACCCACCACAGGTTCTCTATCCAATTTATAGTTTCCACAAACATACACACCACCAAGATATTACATACACAAATACATATACATATATGTAAGTCTTATTTTCACTTTTTGCTTAGGCTCTTTGTGAAGAATACTGTAAGTGTGATAGCTCAATGTTGATCATAGAGTCACTTAGACTCTGAAAATGGCTTGATTTTTAAGGTATTTGATTCCTCAGAGGCATTACACTTACATGTTCGTTGAGAATCCAACTTGGGTGGTGAAATCTAGTTTGAGTTCCGAGAATATAGGCTATTGCAAAGTTTGGTACTAAATCTGCACAAGTTTTCGACAAGTCTGCTTGGCTGAGCCTTTGGAGAATTATATTGATTCGCATGTCTAGTAAATAAAAATGTATTACTACAATCAATACTAATGTTGTACCAGAAGAGCTGACTTATTCGAGTTATGTACAATCTTTCAATGTATCCCTTTGTTTGGTGAAAACTTTATGTATATATAAGGATTTTTTCATGCAAAATGGTTGGCTTGAGCGGAGAATTTGTTGCAACTTCGAATTGCTCTCGTCAATGTATCGGTTAGTTCTTATCTCAATTTCTTTAATATTTTTGCATTTCGTTACCATTGTATTCGTGGGATTGTCCATTTACTTGGTTGCTTTCTCGGACGTGTTTTGTCCCTTTTAACCTACCTTTCCGTTTCCAAGGGGATATTTGAACCTTTTTCTCTATAATGTTATCTAGGTATAAAGATCTCTCCTTGTGTTAATTTTCTTATGCACATTCTTAGAAATTAACTGACGAGTAGTTCAAATCGATTGAATCCAAGTCGACTAATATTAGTCGAGTAATTTATCGTACTTTCTCTCTGTAAAAAACCAGGTAACTAATATTTAGTTGACTAATATCAATTCAGTATTTAGGGGGTGTTTGCAAAAGCTTTTTTAGGCTCATAATCTATTTTATGGTGTTTGCAATTACAACTCTTGCTTTGGTTCTCTGAAAATAAGTTGTTTTAAACTAGAATCTCTTAACCAGCCTTTAGTTTAATGGCAGTTTTGTGAATAATTAAAAGCTGTAAAAATATTTTAATCCACTATTCGTATATTCACGCTTTAATTATCACTTCAGCAAGAATTTCAACCAATATTGTCTGTATGGGTCTATCATCGTGTGGTATATAATACATATGTTGTACTGGTTCAAAAAATATGCAGCAACCTTTTGTGTAATTTCTGGAAGTATATGCTGAACTTCTTTTATTTATTTATTTATTTATTGTGGAGTTTGCATATACATACATATGTTGTTTTCTTTTGAAATATCTGTTGTGACGTAATCTTAACATGGGTTTGAATATATATTATATAATGCAGTCGATGTGATTTACTGATTTTGGTGTTTACTTCTGCTAATTAGTATAATAGACTTTTAGTTGTGTCAAAAAAATTATATTTTCCACTTTGTCAAAAAAACGTATTAGAACTTGTCTTAAATCATTTCTCGGTACTTTGTCATAACAAGTATTCGGAAAAAATAAAATTTCATTATAGATAAATTAAATATTTGTTTACTTTATCACGGTATTTAAGATATTTTTTTAACAAGTTAAAAATTAAGGTTAATTGCAAGCACTGCAACTTACTTTTAACTACTTCAAGTTGATTTTTAAAGGTTTCTGACTTTCTGTAAATAAGTGATTATTCCGAGTTTTAGGTGGTGTTTGCAAAAGCTCATTTAAAAGCCAAAATTATGGATTATGAGTTAAGTTGATTTTAAATACTTATTTCTAAAAGTTGGGGGTGTTTGCAAATTTACTGGAAAATCAACTTAAACAGAAAAAATGAGGGTCATGGGTGCTTAACAAATTATAGCTTAAAGTTGTTTATTTTAAGAGAAGCAGAAGCATAAGTTCATTTTGCAAATACTAAAAAAAAGATTATGAACAAAAAAAAGCTCATAATCTATTTGTAAAAGCTTTTGCAAAAACACCACCTTAATCACCAACTTCTACTTTAGTTAAGCTTTTGCAATCACTCCTTTAGTAATGGGAGAACAATTGAGCGTAGACACGACTACGAGGTGGGTCGGGCAGGTCAGGGTCCGAGTTTTAGGGGGCCCGAAACTGACTCGCGGCAAGGCGGGGTCGCATTGGGGTGGGGCTGGTCCAGATGGGGCTCGACAGGAACGAGCCGGGTCCGGACCCGAGTTTTGGGGGGCCCAAAACTAACTCGCAACAAGGCGGGGTTGCAGTGGGGTGGGGCTGGTCCAGATGGGGCTGGACAGGTCCAAGCCGGGTCTAGGCCCGATCCGGATTTTCCAATTTTTTTGTAGCAAAACGTTACAATAAATAAAAAAAATGTTAGGACTTGAGTTTGATAGATTAAAATCTTACAATCGATTCAAATATTTTTATGAAATTTAAATGTAAAAAAATTGATTAAATTTTACAATCTATGATTTAATTTTTACAAATTAAATTTCATTATTTTTTAATGATAAAATTCAATTGAAAAGATATGACTTTAATTGTAAGTAATTAATTTAATTAATACGTCATTGTTAATAGTTGAGCTCAATAAATTTAAATCTTTGAAAAAGGTTTACGAATTGAAAGAACTTGAGTTTAATCGATTCAAATCTTACAATTAACAATTTGATTCATAGGATTTTTACGAATTATATTTTATGACAAAATTATGTTAAAATAATATTATACTTTAATTATAAATAGTTAAATTGATTAATACGTCTTTGTCAATAGTTGACATAAATCAATTCATATCTTTGAAGAAAGTGTACGAATCGAAAGAACTTGAGTTTAATCGATTCAAATTTTACGATTAAAAATTTTATTCTTACGATTTTTACGATTATATTTTATTATTTTTATGATTAAATTCAATTAAAAAGATATTATAATATAATTATAAATTCATGATCTACAGTCGTAAAAGTTGGATATCATAAATGGGTCGTTACAAATAAGCCCATCAATGAGTACTTATTCATAAAGAGATCCAGACAAAAAACTCATTTACAAATAAATCTACACATGGTCCATATTTTTGTAAAAGACTAAGATAGCCCATCATACTTTAGTATGCTCCAATTTCATCCTTAATTTAATTTAACCTCAATTTGACCCCAAATTTCACAAATTATTCAATTTTGACCCAAATTTTTTTTTTAAATTTATTTTTGCAGCCGGATTCAGGCGTTTACCTTTTGATTTTTTTTTCTCTCCTGATTTTTCAACCACCGGTTTCCGGTGTTGACCGACGGTCAACGCCGGTCTCCGGCGTTGACTTCTTCGTTTTTTTTTTGTTTTTTTTTTCTTTCTGTAACATTTTTTTTCGTTTAAACATCAATATTGCTGTGATTGATAGTAATATTTACTATATTACTGTTAAACACAGTAAAATTAACTAAACTACAGTTTAACACAGTAATATTGCTATATTAATCTCTAGCACAGTAATATTAACACAACAAAACTCATTATTATTGTGTAATAGAGTAAAGTACTATGTTGACCGTTCAACAAATGTAAAAATAATAAAAAGCCAAAAGAATTAATATTAACAGTAATATTACTATAACAACAGTAATATTACTGCAACCACAATAATATTACAATAATAGATAGTAATATTATTACGTTACTCCGTGAATAACTCAAACAAACAAAAAAATCCAAACAAAATAATAATATTGATGTGGTTGACAGCAGTATTACTATAACAATAGTAATATTACCGTCAACCACAGTAATATTATTGTGTTTACAGTAATATTACAATAATAGACAGTAATATTATTACATTACTCCGTAAATAACTCAAACAAAACAAAAAACTGAAAAAAATAATAATATTGATGTTGTTGACAGTAATATTATTGTGTTTACAGTTATTTTACTGTCAACGATACATAAATGTATTGTCAACGGCGGTACAATTACGTTAATTAACTGTCATTGACAATATTATTACGTTAATTTAATGTCGGTGACAGCATAATTACAGTCAACGTTTAGCGGCGGACGTAAAAAACAAAAACCAAAGCAAAAAAAAAAAAGAAAAAAAAAACTAAAAAAAGTCAACGGCGGAGACTGGCGTCCAACGCGGGAATCCGGCGGCGGAAAAAAACAGACCAGGAAAAAAATAAAAATAAAAGGTCAACGCCGGAGACCGGCGAAAAAATCCGAAAGAGAAAAAAAAATCGAAAAGTCAATGCCGGAATCCGGCGGCAAAAATGTTTTGTTTTGAAAAAAATAGTTTTTGAAAAAGAAAAGTCAAAATTGGATTTTTGTGGATAAAATTGAGTAAATTGTGGTTACAATTAGAAATGTGATTCGCTATTTACGGTTTGAAAATTGCTATTTGCGGTTTATAACAAAAAACACTTTATCTCTCTAAAACCCAAAAACTTCCCAAAAAAATCCAAAAACCCCCCAAAACGCGTAAAATCCCAACTTGGACGCCGATTCATGCAGTGCACGCCCAAGTTGGGCGTGCAAGCTGCATTTGGGCGCCCGAGTTGGGCGTCCAGTGCAAAAAAAATAAAAATTAATTGAACGCCCAAGATGGGCGCCCAAGGCGTGTACGAATGCCCACGTTGATTTTTTTTATAAAAAAACATTATTGTCTGGACCCCTTTATGAATAAATACTCGTTGATGAATTTATTTGTAAAATGCGAATAATAGAACGCTACAATGATAAAGACTTTACGAAGACTTTATGTAACAGACAAGTAGTCTTGATGTGACCAGTTGCTTGCAAGTGTAACATTTTCTCTTTTTTCTTGATTGAAATCGATCTATCTAAGGATTAGCATTTCTTATTTGTTTCAGTATCAATACTAAGTTTTTTATTTTTTTATTTACTTTTATTTATCTTTTATTATTAAAATTGCTTACAACCTTACCATATGGAAGTTGAACCCTTGTCCTATAAACTACCTTCCACACCTTGATAGAACTCAGGCAATAATTGTATTATCAAGTTTTGACATGTCAAAATGATTGCGTAGACAGCATAACAACACTAATTATTCGATGTCGTAAGAGACGAGGGAAAAGGAAAAAAAAAAAGAAAAATCGACACAAATCCAGTGTTTGTTCAAATAACCGATAATTGGGATCAGTGTCGGGTAGCTTTTCATGGAATCCCATTTTATGTGTAGCCAAAATTCAAAAAGCCAACCCGCCCTATGAATAGCATGTCATCATAAAACCATACTCGAGGTTTTAAACACATGAACAGCTTATTGTCATCATAGATTCATACTTGAGATTATAAACACACGCTGCCGCCCAAGAGAATCCTCCGATGCATGCCGCATTCATATATATCATATATGTCTCACCAAATTAGTGAATATATTTTCTCACGCTCATATTATATTTAACTGTTTGTGGACATCAAAATCGGCACTCAGAATTTGTAAACCATGTCTTCTGTGTATCCAAGTTCCTTGAGTATGCCAGTTAGCTGTCATAATAACAAAAGAAAATGTCAACAAAATACATAAAAGAATATAGTGAGCAAAAAACTTATTGGAGATTGGCTTCTTTGGAATTTTGAATGTGAGTGTACGCACCTCTCCTTGTGACCGATCCTTTGCCTTGTCACCCGATATGTGATTCATCATTCCAGGAGGACCACAAACCTACAAAATCAACAAAAGCTCAACAAACGTACTACTGACATATATAAATGATTTATCTTAATGCTTCTTTCTTACGCACAAGAGGGTAAATATTAATGCAATGTAAACAAAGTAATTGATGCAATATAAACTAAGAGGGGTGTATCGGGGGTTGACCAAATCGAAAAGGCACCTAAATTATTTTAGTGGCATCGATAATGCAATAAACCTATTCACTAAATTATTTTAGTGGCATGGATAATGCAATACAGATTTGAAATCAACCACAGTTTCTCAAAAATCAACTTATAATTAGAGCCAAGGAATTCAAATTCATTGTCAAATCATGTAATCCAAACAAGCTCAATGAATTTGTTATTATGGACATAAAATTACTCCCTCAAACACTCCCATCCAAATGCAACCTTAATGAATATGACATTCACTTTTCTAGGTGTTAAATTGCTTTTCACCCAAATCAATAAAAAAGAAAACAAAAAATCATCGAAGAAAAAGTCGGCTTCATGAAGAAATAAAAAAAGAACTACATACAGGGCCTCTGATATAATACATCAAAAGTGGTGTTCGAATCTCCATCCATATAAACTAAGATCCCAGTTAATTTTTCATAAGGTGTCAAATTTATGCGAATAAGTTTTGTAATCAGTTATTGGTATTGATGGCAGAGAAACTTACAAGAATAAGAGTATCGTCACTGGGAACAGGCAAGCCTTTGACTACCATTTGTTTGGATATGAAACCCCTACCTCCGAGCCAGTCCTTTGTTGGATTGTCAACAGTGTAGAATACCTATAAACTCACAAACATATTAATATATTTTACCGAATAAAGTATTGGAAAAAATGAATATCAGCATCTCATTCATTTCCTAGTAAATAAATGTTAAGTTGTGTAGAATCAGGCAGCACCTTCAAGTTTGGGTTGCTGGCGGAGAGCATGTCAAGCTTCTTTTTGAGAAGTATGTCATCGGGAGATACATTAGCATATAACAAAGAGACCTAAACAAATAAAAAAAAAAAAATTATCATTTACAAACATAGAATATATTGACACCAATGTAATACAGTTATTTTTCATTTCAAAAAATAAAAATAAAATAAAAAACCAAGAGAGAGAATTCACGGGCCTACCTGGGTATTATCATCAGGGTTTTTAAGGATGGAATCTATTATCTGAAGCATTGGGGTTATTCCAGTTCCTCCTGCAATCTGAATACAAACACTCTAGCAAGTTAACAAACCTATCAAGCATTCTCCAATAAAAACAAGATAAATAATGCCATAACTATCAGAATGTTACAGTTGCATCTTTATGGTACAATCAGAATTTCTAGGGTAAAAATCCCATGCCTGATTTTGTATTCCTCCTCGTTCCCTTAATCTACATTAGTTTATGTACTAAAGAAAACTGTAATGATGGTCATACCATGCCAATATGTTTCTTCATATTTGCACTGTATCTGAGTTTTTCAATGGGCCTGGACATAATGAACCATATTAATACGTTATTAACCGTGCATTAATCTTAACTTAGAGTTAATCTTGTATTACTTACCCTTTCACTTCTACTACATCTCCTGGTTTCAAGCTAGCAAAATGCTGACTCATTTTACCTTCTGGATACACCTGTAAAAATGTTAAAGGTTGAAGATGGGTATGTAGTACAAAATGATAAGGGCATGCATAAACACAAAAGCATTGGAAAATCAATGAGAATTGTATAATGAATGAATACCTTAATAAGCAAATCGAAGTATCCCTTTGCATCTGGATCCGATATAGGAGTGTAACTGTAGAAACGAGCTTCAGAGAATTTCTCGACTATTTGTTGATCTATCTTCAAATAATATGGAAATTGTTGATGCATCTTAAGTACTTATAACTGGCACATTTATAATTTCCCAGTCCTAGATTTATCTTCAAATGCAGAGTGGTCCAAAACAAATAACTGATTTTTGCTCGTATTTAGACTTAGAACGATCTTACTCCTACTTGCTTTTATCCATTTCATAACTCTACAATTATAAAAGCTACCGAAATCTATAAATCGAAAGACAGAAAGTTAAATATGAAAGGTAGGACACTTTTTTCCATCATTAACAGTACCACAACATTTGGTGAAAGTAAAAACAGTAGACACGGCAGATTTAATGTTTGGGAAGCATGTGAGTGATTCTTGACTTACAGTTACACATGTAACAAAACACGCACAACACACATTTCAAAAAAATGACTTACGGGCGAATCGCATATTTTGTTTTTCCTTCAGCATTCTGTCCAGTCGGCGCCCTACAAGAAAATTAACGCTGAATGGGTAATTATATCAACCTATAATAGCAAAATTGTCTACCAGGGTTACCATATCAAAAGGCTTCAAACATTTACATATAAAGAAATATCCACAAGGTATCAAGTTTCAAAGAAATTACCTCGTAATATCCACAAGGTATCAAGTTTCAAAGAAATTACCTCGTAATAATGCAGGATGCGACATCAAGACCTAACTTCACATTGGGAACCAATAATACCATAGAGAATAAGAGCATCATCAGACTATCTAGTTTTTAAAACAGTTCTGCAATAATAGCATCATCAGACTATCTAGTTTTTAAAACAGTTCTGCAATAATAAAATTCATGAAATGTCAAAAGTTCAATTTGCTAGGAAACCATAAAATCATTTAACAACATTCTTAATATATATATATATATATATATATATATATATATATATATATATATATATGACCATAAAGAACACTTGAGCATTCGCACTTTATTCACTAAATCTTCATTTAACCACTAGGTTTTCTCAAGTTCCATTATTAGTTATGTTACTTAGAACGGAAGAAAACATTCGTGGATGGCATAAACATTCAGAGGAGGGCTGAAAATGGCTCGCTTTAATGCGGCTTCACTTATTTTGGAAAGAAAAAAAAAAGTGGAGTTTGGGCCAATGAACCCAATACTATCCCAATTCTGGTTCAAGCGTAAAATTCTTAAATCCTAGTAAAAATCTTAGATTTAACTGATGTAAGGATTTTGCCCCCAATCTTGAAGGATTTGCTTGAATCGGGATTTTACTAAGATAACACAAGGTAAAAGTAGTAAAATCGTAAAATCCAAGGATTGTAGGATTTTAATCCAGAATTTGACTACCATGATTATAATTCCATCCTTTTTCCATTCCCAACATTATTCTTGTATATCTAAGTCCTTCTAACAAAGCTACAACGGGCTCATATCTACCTAACAAAGAAGCAGATAGTGTCATCATTTCACAATCCTATATAATTCTTGAATCTTTCAATTAATTTATCATGCTTCCTCTCAACATTTACTAGTCTAAGTGGCAATGAAATGGTCCACTTTCCTAGCTCAAATAGTTACGGGGTGCACTCATGCAATAAATAAATTTCAATTACAAACAAAATACTTCTAATCAAGGGAGAAATTGAGGAATCACAGGTAAAATCACTACTAGAAGAACCATAAGATAATATAACCAAACCTAAATAACTGAGAATTGTGGCTGGCCTGCACCTTGTCTTGCAGCTTGAACTCAATCCATTTATCAGGATTTAGGGCTGCAGAGAAAGAAAAGATCAATCAATGAAGAATTGTTATATTACAAGTCAATAATGATTGATGTGTATATACATATCTAAGTCTGTAAGTATTATAGATATACTGCAGGTACAGAGTGTTACTTAGATTCGTCAGAACAAGTTAGAGACTTATGTTATGCCCTGAAATACTCTTAAGCTTCATGACAAGAATTGTTAGCCAATGAAATAAAATCACTAGTTTAAGTATCAACAAAATATTGGAACTTATTCTCTCTGATTTGATTTTTAATTTCTTATTTGACCAAGATAGAAATTATCAACTTATGGCTGCAATGCAGCTCTATAGGTTTCATCTTGAATTTCAAAGGTTACAGTTTCTTAAATTCTATGCAAGTGTTAAGTGTCTAACATTTGGTATTCTATTCTTGTAGATGTTCTTGAATAATGATTCTTGAGTTATGATGTAATTATATTGTCATGCATTTTGAATTTATGTGCAGTCTTTAATTTGAACCTTAAAAGGGATTTCATTAGCAATGTCTCTCGACCACCACTACGTAATATAAAACTGCCAGAATATGAGGATCTACGGTTATGGATCAATCGGGGACGCCAAAGGCAACGTCAAATGGAGATGGAAATTTTTTATCGGAAAATGTCTATCTAAGCTCACAGTGTACGTGACTGGACAATGAGATCATTATTTTCAGGCAAGTTGAAGATTATTTCCATTTTTTTTTAGTGTTTTCACTTAATTCTATTGCACATAATGTCTAATGTGAACTATAATAATGATATTTATTTGTTAAATCCCTCTCTACAAGAAAAAGTTCCACCCATTTATGAAAAACTTCCACATGCAAAGCTTCACTAAAAATAGTCAGGATGAGCCTGAGCACGAAGGCAAGTGTTAGAGTATATATATTCTACGAACCACTTAAACTCTTCGATAAGATGGTCATTCAATAGTAAAGGGTTAGAGGTATCATATTCAAATTTCAGAGATGCTTTCTGTACACAGAAGTACTTCAAAATCAAGTTTCAGTGAAGGAAAATAAGAAAGCCTAGACATAGAATTTGTATTGCATGCATTTTGTGTTATCAATCTTTTTCCCGAAATCTTTAATTCAGAGAACAAGTACAACCCTCCAATTCTACGAGAAGATTACCGATCTGTCCGCACAAAATAACAAACAATTAAGTGCTCTCAGTCTCTGCCACCACAAGGTAATCAAAATATGAGTTTTATATAATTTGTTTGTATATTTTACCGAGTACGCCTCGACCAACACTTAAAAATGTATATAATCTAACAAGTTGAGATGAAGGCTAAGTAAACATCTTCCATTTAGTAATCTAAAAGAGTTAAAAAAAAAGGCTTACGTTATCAAATAAAGAAAACTCAATCGAGAAAATGAGTAATACTCTTTTACGATGGTTCTTGACTTGTATAGTGGCATAATAATTTTCACAATTGTAAAAATATAAGTGGTTATGCTCAGTAGTCATTTTTACAAGCAATGTGCACAAACAGACACACTTGAACTATTTATCTATGTAAGCTCAGGATTTAACTTTTTGAAGTAAGGATTCAAAACTACATATGTGTGGTTTCTTCCCATGGAAACCTAAAGTCACATCTAGACATTATAATCAATCATGGTTTGTATTCTTCACACATATAAATCATATTCTCCTTACTTTATCTTTTCACTCCCAGAGTGTTTCCGCAATGTGATACCCGGGGTTTATTTTTTAATTTTTTTTTTTTTTTTTTTTTGCTTTAAGTCAAAAGACGAAACGATTGAGGGGCTTAGCTTCATCTCGAATAAAACCTAATTACACGATTTGGGTTTTGGAAACAGTCTTAAGCCCGAACACAGTTAAGAATCAATCTGTCTAATTCTTTCAGTTGATCACACTCTTATGGTTGTTGAATTGCAGGATAGAAATCACGAAGAAATGAATGAAGTTGTTGAGACCATAACCAACATTTCATTAGATAATAGAGAAATATGGTAGGAAGAAAGACATACCAACTTTTGGTGTAGTATCTTCATTGAGTTGATCTAAATAAACCTGAGTTAGAAAATTTAATAAGTGAAAAATAGTCAAATAATTATGTGGTTAACATAAAACAGTGTATTGCTACAAACTGAATATTTACATACAAAAGGGGAAGAGATGCAACAATGAAAAAAAAAAACAAAATTATTGTAAATTGTGAAATGAATAAATGTATCTTTAACCTAATTAAAAAAATAGAAAACAAAAACCACCATTGCTTCAAATATTTCCAGACGACTGTCAACCAAAAAAAAAAAAAACAGGGGACTACAGCCAAGGAGGGTTTGGGATTGTAGAGTTTATGATTCTGATATGATCGTATATGTGGAGGTGAAAAAACTAGTACTAATAAGATATGTATTGAAATGAAAAAGTACCAAATCATGGGATGAGGAAAAGAGGTAATAGGAGGTGATTCCACCAGAAATGGCAGCAAGTGCTCCAAACCGGATTGGAGAACCGGATTTTGTTTGGCCTCCGAATGCAATTGGTGCAGCTGCCTTTGCCAGTCTTTTCAGAAACACAGCCATTTCAACTTGAAAGAATCGATATCAGAATACTGTACTGGTATTTGTATGGAATGGAATGGGGGAATGAATGTTTCTGTTTTAAGTTGACTCGCTCATTTTAAACTGGATCTCTCTCACTTGAGCCCATCTATGGGATCTTGCATAGCCCCCCCTCCGCTTTTTTTTCCCTTTTCTTTTTTAATAATTTGGGCGGATTAGACATGGCCACGGGGAGGGTACGGTCCGGGTGGTCCGTGTCCGACTTTTAGGGGACCCGAAACCGCCCCGTAGGGTCCATCTGGGTCCGAGCCGGGTCCAGGTTGGGTTCGGGTCCAACCGATTTTTTTTTTTTCAAATAATTACAAGAAAAAAAAAAAAACTTAAATTGAAACTTAAAAAAACTTAAGATTAACTTTAAGTTCAAAATTAACAAAAAAAATTGAATTTAAACACTAAAAAATTTTAGAAAAAAATAAACGATTAAGATCTTGAGATATAAACTAAATAAAATGAAAGTTGTGAAGATTGGATTAGGGGTATTTATATGTGGGGTTCATTTGATATACACCCCTAGCATGGAAAATATATAGGGATAGGTCCACCCCTAAAATCCTTCCTTTGAGATAACCCCTGGAGTGGCAAAAGTACTATTGTGCCCTTATGTGTATTTTCGCCCAACTGCATTTATTATTTTCGCCCTGCATTCAGCATAATGCCAAACTGCATTTAGATTTTGGGCCTGCATTTATCATTTTTACAGATTTTTATAATAAAAAAATATAAATGTTTATTTTATTATTATTCTTTTATATATACCCTATTTTCTTTTTTTTTTAATTATTTTTTTTATTTTTTTTAATTTTTTTTAATTTTTTAATTTTTATTTTTTTAACAATTTTTTTTTAATTTTTTTTTAATTTTTAATTTTTTTTAAATTTTTTAAATTTTTTAATTTTTTTGATAAATTAACTGTACCGAAATTGACTACACATGACTATATTATACTACACATAATATACCACAATCATGTTATGTAATCATGTACTGTTTTTTTACCAAAATTAATCTACACGAACAACAAAATTTACAATTTCAATCTTGATATTATAAATCAACTAACCCAAAAAAAAAAACGAAAACACAATCACATCCATAAAATCTTCAAAACATGAACACGCATTACTATACATTAAAAAACACATAACACAGATATAACTATATGTTACTACACGTGACTATAGTTATCTACAATTATCTACAATGAAACGTCACATGACACTTCTCTGCATCTTATTCTTTGCATCTTATAATGTTACACAAAGCAAAACATGTGACAAAAAATACAAGTTAAAGAAAACGAAGAACAAAAATGGAACAAGTGAATTATATTACGTGAAAAAATATAAAAAAACAATGAAAGACATTTTTTTGATAAATTTATTTTGGTGAACTATAGTCACAAGTAGTTGTTACTGCATATGACTAGATATGACTATATGTAGTCAACTATAGTCAGATGTAGTTATGTTCGTTCTTGTTACTATATGTGACTATATATAATGTTACACAAAGTAAAATATGTGACAAAAAATACAAGTTAAAGAAAACGAAGAACAAAATGGAACAAGCAAATTATATTACGTGAAAAAATACAAAAAAACAATGAAAGGCATTTTTTTGATAAATTTATTTTGGTGAACTATAGTCACAAGTAGTTGTTACTGCATATGACTAGATATGACTATATGTAGTCAACTATAGTCACATGTAGTTATGTTCATTCATGTTACTATATGTGACTATATATGACTATATGTATACGATCATATGACTATATATGCATATGAATAAAATTCATCTACACCACAAAAAAAGTTCACAAATGTTTAAGATAATGAATTATGCAATCCCTGCCAGATGCTGCTGCAACATTCATTATACTTTATTTAAAAAAAAAAAAAATACACGAAAAAAAAAATCAAAACACAATTATTGGGCTTTGTGCAGTTTCCAATTTACCACCTTGGTACTAAGACAAACCATAGAAACTTGGTAAATTAAATCACGTAATGAACAAAACCTCCCAAATGCGTAGGGGAACGAATCTAAAACGAAGATGGGGAAAACGGAGAACGGGAAAATATAAAACGAATCTGAAACGAAGACGAGGAAATATAAAACGAATCTCAAACGAAGATGGGAAAACAGAGAATGGGAAAAATATAAAACGAATCTGAAACAAAGACGAGGAAATATAAAACGAATCTAAAACGAAGATGGGAAAACGGAGCAGGGAAAATATAAAACGAATCTAGAACAAAGACGGGAAAAACGGATCGGAGCAGGGGAAAAATAATACAAACAATAGAAAATGGAGCACCTTGAAGATGTAGATCTCGTACTTCTCCACGCTCTTCTTTGTCTCGTACAAATCATCGGTGAAATACGGATCCCGTGCGGTGGAATATGGATTTGTTCTCAGCGTGGGGGGCAGCGGTGGCAGACGGTGGCGGAGGGAGAGCGTCGGCGGGCGGCGGCTGCTTGCGGAGCATCGGTGAACGTCGGTGGGGGAGCGGCGTCGCAAGGCGGTGGCGGAGCAGCGAGCGGGTGAGCAGATGTGGCGGAGCAGCGGTGGGATGAGAGTTTGTCGATATAGAGAGTTAGAGAGAGAAAGAGAGTTAGAGAGATATGAAGAGGGGGTGGGGATAACGCCTGATACGTGTGATTGAAAGAGAGAAGGTTGGGGCTAAGGTTTTATGTATTGAATTAAAACTAAAAGGGTAAAATAGGTTTTTCAAGTTGTCTAAGGGGGTCTCACTAATTAAGATCAGATTTTGGGTTTTTAACTAGGAAAGAAAAATTTGTTGGGTCTCCTCATATATATTTTGAAAAGTAGGGGGTTATCACTCATTTCCCCTTATATGTGAAAATAATAATTGAGAAAAAAATTCAAAATATAAAAAAAATCAAAATTCAATCTTTCTTTTAAATTAAATCGTAATTTTTTATATTTTTCAAAATTAAATATATATGCATTTGTTATTAGTGGAGATTTTTAATATTAACTAGCAACACACCCGTGCGATGCGCGGGGTATTCATCGTAAAACAAATATTGAATAGTAAAAAAGGTTCTCAAAATAGTAATATTAATTGTTAATAAGTAAAAGAAAGAAGTAAACAATATTCAAAAATAAAAATAATTTGTATAGTGTAAGTGATGAAATAAGCCGAAATAAGTGAAAAAAACTAAACATCGAAGGTTTTAATTTCCACATACAAAACAACGAATATATAGTTGGTCCCAAACTTGTACAACCATAATGACATGAACGTTGAAAACTTGAATTGTTTGATACCAACCGCCATAAACGCATGCAACAAATCCAATACAATGCAACTGACATGCATATGTTGTACAATGGTCACACGAAATATGTAAATTATTACCAAAACAATACCAATATAACTGTTTAATTGCATAAAATCACTGAAAAAAAGATTACCTTCATGAAATATAGCTAGTGGAGTCCATAGCAAATTCCTAGTACAATTAAAATAAACCTACAAATGAGGAATAACAAAATATAAAAATAATAGATAATAAAGGTCGTCAATGAATATTGTAATTTTTTTTATAAGAATTACCTTCATATATGCTGAAAAACTTTCTTGTATACAACATTATTTGTAACGTTGGTCGTGTCACCAGATTCCGAGTTAATCAAAATCTTTATGCCACTTCGACTCTTAACTCTCGAGAGTGCGACATAGAGCTGCCCGTGACTGAAAACAAGTCTCGGTAAGTACATGCCCATGTGAGAAAGAGTATGTCCTTGACTTTTATTGATTGTCATTCCGAATGATACCATCAACGGACGGTACCAAAGTCATTCTAGGAATGAACACCATATCACCAACATGTTTACCGGATAGAATCCTGCAGCTGAGAACGTGTTTTCCCATATTAATAACCTGAAGCCTTGTTCCATTGCACAATCCTCTGGCCTGATCAGTATTTCTGATGAGCATAACGGGAACACCTCTTTTCAACGTCAACTTATGCGGTGGAATTCCGGAGCATGATATGGTGTTGAGAAACTCCGTTGAATATATTTTTGCGTTGACATCCGACAACAACTCCTCCTTGCACATACTATTGGAGCTGAAATAGACCTTCTCCTCTCCAGTTATGATCGACAAAAAATGATCGTTCACAAAACCAACACTTTCATTAGTGGGTGCAAGAAATGCTCTACCTTTGAAATACTCGGGAGTGAAAAGGTTGGTCACCAGATCGGGATAGACAAACTCTATAAGATCCAAAAAGAGATCTTCTGAATTCCGAATCAGCATGTCATCGGGAATTTCAATTGTGGCATCACCGTCATTTACCTCGCCAGCATCTCCATTGCCGATTCTCAATATCCAGTCCGCAAATTCTCTTATTTCATCTGCATTGGTGGAAGAGGAGGACACTCAAGTCTCATGTTCTTGTTTAACTTCATAACCTTACATTGTCTCCACAACTGTGGTGAATTGATTGTAACATGAACAATGTCTTGTCTCGACGCTTTCAACACAACTGGCATAATTTGCCGAAAGTCCCCTGCAAGCACTACAACCTTGCCTCCGAATGGCATATCTGAATCAAGTATAGATTTCATTGTTTTGTCGAGTGCTTCGAAACAGTACATGTGCATCATCGGTGCCTCATCCCATATGATTAGCTTCGCTCTAGACAACAATTCTGCATGTGGGCTCTGTTGTTTGATGCTGCATGTGGAGCTCTCATGTACAATTATTGGCAGTCCAAATCTCGAATGAGCTGTTCTGCCACCTGGAAGTAGAAGCGGAGAAATACCACTGGAAGCAACATTTATAACTATTTCGCCTTTTGAACGGATATCAGCCAATAAAATTTTCCATATGAAAGTCGTCCCGTTTCTCCATGCCCATAAAGAAACAACAGTCCACCTCTGTCATTTGTAACAGCATCCATGATATCATCAAACACTTTTTTCTGCTCATCAGTAATGGATGAAAGGTATTTCTTAAGCTCTTCACGCATCGCATCAACATCATAGTCCAACTCGTCGAGAACTAATCTATTTACCGTGCCGTCTGTCATCGACCCAATTGGAATC